CTAAACCCTAAACCCTAAACCCTAAACCCTAAACCCTAAACCCTAAACCCTACAAGCAGGAAGCCCTCAACTCGTGAGGTGCCAAGGTGCACAGAAGCGGCAGTCCTTGATGACGTTTTTCAAGGCTTCCTGGCGAAAGCCCGGGTTAAGGGTTGCTTAGGGTTTAGTTAGGGTTTAGGGTTTAGGGTTTAGGGTTTAGGGTTTAGGGTTTAGGGTTTAGGGTTTAGGGTTTAGGGTTTAGGGTTTAGGGTTTAGGGTTTAGGGTTTAGGGTTTAGGGTTTAGGGTTTAGGGTTTAGGGTTTAGGGTTTAGGGTTTAGGGTTTAGGGTTTAGGGTTTAGGGTTTAGGGTTTAGGGTTTAGGGTTTAGGGGGGCACGAAACCCTAAACCCTGAACCCTAAACCCCACACCCCCAAAACTGAAAACCCACACCAGAGTACCATGCCGGCGGCTTTGAAATCAACTGGAAAGCCAAGAATAAAAGAAACCCTAAACCCTAAACCCGAAACCCGAAACCCGAAACCCTAAACCCTAAACCCTAAACCCGAAAGACCGAACAACAAAAAAAAACACTTACTCAGGGAGTTAGGTACCAAATATCCCCCCCCAATCGCTAAACGCTACAGAAGTAGAGAACCAGGGTCCTGTATAATTGCCCTAAACTGTCTTGGGATTCAGGGTTTGGGGTTTAGGGCTGAGGGTACCGTAAGCGGTTAACCCTAAACAACCTTATTGACCCCCACAACCCTTAAACCCTCGAAAGACCCTCAAACCCTGCACCCCTTACACCCTTCAACCAACCCTTAAGTCCCAGAACCCTCAAACCCAACAAGTTCCGAAAAACCCTAAACCCTAAACCCTAAACCCTAAACCCTAAACCCTAAACCCTAAACCCTAAACCTCTATAAACATCTGCAGGCTGAAGGTGGCACCTCCACGGAGGCCTGGTCGACGAGTTTTGTGGCAATCTCCTTGGCGGCAGTGCGTATGGTTTAGGGTTTAGGGCTTAGGGTTAGGGTTTAGGGTTTAGGGTTTAGGGTTTAGGGTTTAGGGTTTAGGGTTTAGGGTTTAGGGTTTAGGGTTTAGGGTTTAATTAGGGTTTAGGGTTTAGGGTTTAGGGTTTAGGGTTTAGGGTTTAGGGCTAGGGCTTAGGGTTTAGGGTTTGGGGTAGTAGGATAATAGGGTAATAGGGTAATATAGGGTTATAGGGTTCTAGGGTTCTAGGGTTCTAGGGTTATCGGTTATCGGGTTATAGGGTTAAAGGGTTATAGGGTTATAGGGTTATAGGGTTGTAGAGTTATAGGGATATAGGGTTATAGGGCTTCGGGCTTGGGATTCAGGATTGTAACTCAGGGTGTAGGGCCCTAAATCCTAAATCCTAAACCCTAAACCCTAAACCCTAAACCCTAAGAAGACAATAGTTGAGAGGGAGCAGCCCAGAAGCATCCCTGGCATCCCAATGCTTCCACTCGCAGGTAGGCCCCAGGGAAGCGGTGAATCCCTACAGCCTCAACCACAGTTGGGCCACATCAAGGCACTTGCTGGGGTTTAGGGTTTAGGGTTTAGGGTTTAGGGTTTAGGCTTTAGGGTTTAGGGTTTAGGGTTTGGGGTTCTTAGTTGCTGAGTTCATAAGCCCCTAAAAAGTGTACACTTTCAGGTTTAAAGGGGGTTATAGTATCCCAATATGTGCAAAGTGTGCTCACTCAGCTTCTAAGGACCCCAAGCCCTCACTGCCCTAAGCCCGCCAACTCCCTTAACCCTGAACCTTAAACCCTAAACCCTAAATCCTGAACCCTAAACCCTAAACCCGAACTTCCGACCCAGTCCGCATTTCTTGAGTGTGCAACCCTCGGTTCCGCAGCAGCTCTCTAAATAAGTCTCGGGCTCCCAAGTAACAAGACCCCAAATACCAGGGCTTTTGGTTTGGCTTCCCTAAACCGTAAACCCTAAACCCTAAAACCTGAACCCTGAACCCCCTGAACCCCCTGAACCCTAAACCCTAATTAAACCCTAAACCTTGAACCCTGAACCCTAACCCTAAACCCTTAACCCTAAACCCCACTCAAAACACTGAGCCCTGCCCGTAAATACCCTTCGGCTGCGCTTCGTCAATCTCAGTGCACTGGCGTGAGAACACCTCCGGGTCGACGAGGGTCTCTGGGTCGGACATCCTTTCGTTATCTGGAGAATGTAGGGTGTAGGGTTTAGGGTTTAGGGTTTGGGGTTTAGGGTTTAGGGTTTAGGGTTTGGGGTTTAGGGTTTAGGGTTGCGTGTTTTGGGAGGAGCTTTCAGGGTTTGCTGCAGGAGTTTGGGCTTTTGAGGACAGTGAGGTCGTTCTCCGGCATGTACTTGTGGGCGTAACACCCTAGACTCTAAACCTAACCCCCTAAACCCCTAAACCCTAAACCCCTAAACCCCTAAACCCTGAACCCTAAGCCCCTAAACCCCTAAACCCCTAAACCCCTAAACCCCTAAAACCCTAAACCCCTAAACCCCTAAACCCCTAAACCCCTAAACCCCTAAACCCTAAACCCCTAAACCCCTAAACCCTAAACCCTAAACCCCTAAACCCCTAAGTCCGAAGCAACTTAGAGCAGAAAAGGCCACCAACCGCACTTGGCCAGCAAGCCTGTGGGTCGTAGTGCTCAGGGTATAGGGTTTAGGGTTTAGGGTTTAGGGTTTAGGGGTTAGGTAGGGCTTGAGGGCTTCAGGGTTTTTTCGGGTTCAAGGGTTTCAAGGTTGAGGGTTTGTGACTCTGAAGATCATGAACCTTCAACCCGCACGCCCCATTTCTCAAAGCTGGTTTCCGGGTTTAAGGCCGAAGTTCTAAAGAACCTGAAGCCCGAAACTCCTAAGCCAAAGGGTGGGAGCCCTGAAACCTCACAAGGATCGTGAACTCTAGGCGTGGAGTATTGATACGCCGTCAACACCATGCGGAAGTGTAGCCGACCAATTGCCCAGACCTAAACCATAAACCCTAAACCCCAAACCCTCAACCCCTCAAACCCCAAACCCTGAACCCCAAAACAGAAACCCTAAACCCCAAACCCCCCTAAACCCTAAACCCTAAACCCTAAACCCTAAACCCTAAACCCTAAACCCTAAACCCCCCCTAGTTTGGATTTGGAGGGCTGAGGCTGAAGGCTTTGAGGACTTGTCGGTAATGAAGCTCGGGTTGAGGCTTGAAGGCTCAAAGGCCCAGGTTTAGGGTTTAGGGTTTAGGGTTTAGGGTTTAGGGTTTAGGGTTTAGGGTTTAGGGTTTAGGGTTTAGGGTTTAGGGTTTAGGGTTTAGTAGGGTACTGCCTAGACCCTAAACCCGCCACCGAAATCTGCCCCTGCGGTCCTTGAGATGTTTGACAAAACCTGAGAGCTTCGGCTTGGCAGATACCAAAATGGGGTTTAGGGTTTAGGGTTTCGGGTTTAGGGTTTAGGGTTTAGGGTTTAGGGTTTGTCAAGCCAGTACAACCTGCAAACCCTAAAAAAACGAGAACAAGGGCGATAGGACCTAAGCAGATTTATCCTCCAAGGAGATTTATCCTCCTTAGTTCATATATAGAACTTGAGACAAGGGCAGTAGGAGTTGACAAACAGTTGGGCAAACCCTGCAAACCCTGTAAGCCCCAAACCCTAAACCCTGCCACCCTGCCACCCTGCCACCCTGCCACCCTGCCCCTGCCACCCTGCCACCCTGCCACCCTGCCACCCTGCCACCCTGCCACCCTGCCACCCTGCCACCCTGCCACCCTGCCACCCTGCCACCCTGCCACCCTAAACCCTAAACCCTAAACCCTAAACCCTAAACCCTGCAAGCCTCATGGGCAGACCGGGTGGCCGAGACCTGCTTGTTGAAGCCCTCCGGCATGTCCAGTGAGTCCGCCATGGGCACGCAAGGCCCCATGATGGTTTAGGGTTTAGGGTTTAGGGCTTCGGGTTCAGGGCTTAGGGTTTAGGGTTGAGGGTTGAGGGTTTAGGGCTCAGGGTTTAGGGGTTCCTGAGGTAGGGTTCGAAACCCTAAAACCGTAAACCCCCCAGGCCCTATTCCCTGTACAAGTACCCGTTGCTTCTGGTGGTTTCGGATTTTAGGGTTTAGGGTTTAGGGTTTAGGGTTTAGGATTTAGGGTTTAGGGTTTAGGGTTTAGGGTTTGGGGTCTTTCGGGTCGATCTTCCATAGCCATGAGCTACGTTTCTACCCTCCGGGTCGACCTTGTCTCGCAAAAGGCCCACGCAAGCCGACCGAAGCATCTTGGGTTTGGGGTTTAGGCTTTGGGGTTTTGGGGCTTAGGGTTTAGGGTTTGGGGCTTCGGGGTGTCAGGGTTCAGGGTTTAGAGTTTGGGGTTTCCGGGCTTATGGTTTGGGGCTTGGGTTTTGGGGTTTCGGGCCTTAGGGGTCTGGGCCCTAGGCCATCAAGCCCCCCGAAATCCCTTAAACCCTAACCCAAAGCCCCTGCTATTGTGGCACTACTTCTTACTGCTCTTGTTATGGTTCCTGTTACTACTGCTAACCCTAAACCCTAAACCCTAAACCCTAAACCCTAAACCCTAAACCCTAAACCCTAAACCCTAAACCCTAAACCCTAAACCCTAAACCCTAAACCCTAGACCGGGTGGATTGCATGTTGGAGCTTTGGGGTCCAGAGAGCGGGATTGGTTGTGCATGTGGTGTCCACGTGATTTTCAGCCGCTACACTTTCTGTCAAGGACAGAAGGGTTTAGGGTTTAGGGTTTAGGGTTTCGGGTTTCGGGTTTAGGGTTTAGGGTTTAGGGCTTAGGGTTTACCCCGCAAGCACCCTCGCCAGCACACAGCGGTCATAAACGAAAACTCTGAACCTAAACCCGCCTAAGCCCGAAACCCTTAAGGCACAAATGCCCCATCCGAAAGCCCTAGACAGCAAGTCATCACGGTTTAGGGTTTAGGGTTTAGGGTTGAGGGTTTTATATTCCCTTGAAAGGGTATATATAAACAAGAGATATAAGGTACGTATTCCGAGCCAGCAGGTAAATGCCTCATCCTCCGTAGCGCCAGATGGCTCTTGTGCCACCGCTCGAAGGTTTAGCCTCGCCCCCAAGAAGGTACTCCCCTGAACCCTAAACCCTAAGCCCTGAGCCCTAAGCCCTAAGCCCCAAGCCCTAAGCCCGAAGCACTAAGCCCGAACACCCGAGCTTTGGGGTTACGGCCCTTTTGGGGCTTCTTTCCCTTGAGGGTTGAGGGATACATTAGATAGGGCACGGGTTTCCGGCAGGGTCTAGGGCCAAAGGTTTAGGTTTTCTTGGAGTGGCCTGCATGGCATACACGCACAATGCCCTAAGAAATATTGAAAAAAGAACGCATCGAAATCCAAAGCCTTCCATAATCTACACTGAACATGTACGGGTATGGTTCTTAATGGTAGACGATGGATACCCGGATACCCCAGAGCAAACCTTCCCGGAAGGACGTCGATCATGTATATACCTGCTTTTAGCCGAGCCATGTGCCCGGAAGCAGGACCGGACTCATGGTATCGTGTCTTCGAACACTCGCCGTCTGGCCCTAAACCCTAAACGCTAAACCCTAAACCCACCCCTCCTCGGTTGGGGTAAGGCGGGCGCAGTCGAGCGCTCAGCGAGACCAGGGCACTGCAGGGCTGCAGAGCCCTCACCCTAACGGGTCGCCGAGCTACCAGTCGCCTAGCTTTGTAGATCTTGCATTACTTGGGATATTCCCCCTTGTACTCACAGTCCTTACTAGGGAAATTATAATGGATCTTGCATTGCTTGGGATGTGTTCCCCGTGATACTAACAGTCCTTGCTAGGGAAATTATAGTACCCCCTACTAGAATCCCCATTAAGGACTGCTGGTGTATGGGGGGAACATCTCAAAGTGTTCCCCAAACCCGACCAAATTTGCTCGAGAGAGGTGCCAGAGGCACCTGCTCAACTTTTTTGGGCTTTTGGCCTCTGCAAGCCTCTGGGAGGCCTGGGAGGCCCCTGAGGACTCGGACCCTGAAAGGCTGGGCACCTTGGCCCTGTAAGGCCTCTGGCCTGAACAGGCTCTCTGGCCGAAGACGTCCCCGAGCGCAAAACCCGAAATTTCGCTCTGATGCTTTCACTCTTTCAGTAGGACAACACATCTTTGTGGGAACATGTTTCCCCGAGCCGATGAGACAAGTGCGGCCGGAGACGGCCCCCAGCGCACAGCCTGAGTTTTCGCTCGGATGCTTCCAGTGTCCTTCACAGGACAAAGCATCTTCATGGCGACAGGCTTTCGCGATGCACCTTGGGAATCCGGAGTCGATGAAAAAAGCAATGAGAATGAGAAGGCTGTCCAGCTGAAGATGTCCCCAACCCTCAACCCTCAACCCTAAGCCCGGTATGTATGGGGCCAGGGTGGTCAGCTTGCACGACGCAAGCCCGGTCCCACATGCCAGGGCAAGCGAACTGCACACGCAGTGAGTCGAGCCTTATCTAGGGCTCAGGGTTTAGGGCTTAGAGTTCAGGGTTTAGCGTTTAGGGTTTAAGGTTTACTTGCAACCCCAATTCATCGGTTTACCCCATAAAACTGTAGGTACTTGGGGTTACAGGTAGGGTTTACTTGGAGGTTCATGGATACTTATGACCCCGCTTATGAGTCCACTTATAACCTACTTCGGGGACTTAGGGGCAAGTACAGTTATAATTGGCGTTATAAGTACCCTGAACCTCCAAGTAGGGTTCACAGCACTAAGCAGAGAGTTCCCCGAACCCAAACGAAACCCCAAAGCCTAAACTCTCAACCCTACACCCCACTTCTGACTTCTGGGACACCCCTACGCCCTAAAACCCTAAACCCTAAACCATAACACCAAACGCTGACTTCGGGAGCTGGACCCCGTCATGGTGGCCACAAGCAGAACCGCAGCCACCACAGCCTTGAAGGGCTTCGGGTTTACTTAGGGTTCAGGGTTCAGGGTTCACGGTTCAGGGTTTAGTGTTTGGGGTCTAGGGTGTGTCAGGGGAGGGCGCGCGCTCGGGTGTGAAACACCCCGGGCCGCGCGCTCGCGTTGCCCGTCAACCCACCCCGGCCACCCAAACTATACTCTATTAGGGTTTAGGGTTTATGGAATTTATTTTCTTGTGCCCTGATGCTTGCTTTGATGTTTTTAAAGTTGCGCTGTTAGGGTTTAAGCTGGGGTTGGGGGTAGCCTCGGCCCTTTTCGGGCCTTCGGCGTGTCAGGGCCCGTAGAGGCCCTCATTCATTTGAAGGTCAGGGAAACCCTTTATTTGCTTTGAAGGCCTTCGTAGGGTTTTGCGGTGTTAGGGTTTAGCCCTTTTGGGGCCTTGGGCACGTCAGGGCCCGTAGAGGCCTTTGCTGATTTGGGGGGTTTCTGGGCTAGGCCCTTGGCCTACGGGGGGGCCCATGGCCTGGGGGGGTCCTTGCCCTTGCCCCAAATAAAGGTCCTTGCGCCGCGGGCCGCCAGGCTCGCTTGGCCCGGGCCTTGGCCCGAGGGCCCTTTGCCAGGGAGCCCTTGGCCTGGGGGCCCTTGACCCGGCCTTGGTGGGGGAGGCGCTTGACCCGAAAAGTTTGGGTCGGGGCCGGCGAGCCCTTGGTTCGGGGACGCTTGGCAAAGGGGGGGCTCGAAAATCCGGCAAAAACCCCAAATTGACCCCGAGTACTGACGTTGTCGTAAATAGGCCGATGTGGCCTGTCCAGGACAGACGGTGAAGCTTAACCTTTCCGTTTCTCTTTTCGCTTGGGCGCTCGGGCTGTAAGGCCCTCGGCCGAGCGTTCGGGGTCTGTCGCTCGACGGAAGCGACCCCTCACTTAGTTTAGGGGCTTCGGGTTTACAGGGGCGTAACGGGGGTGTAAGGTATAAAGGGGGGTACATGGGGGTATGAGGGGGGTAAAAGGGGAGTATAGGGGGGTACAAGGGGGGGTATAAGGTATAAGGGGGGTATAGGGGGTAAGGGGGTATGCGGGGGGTTTAAGGGGAGTATTAGGGGGGTATAAGGGGTTCAGGGTTGAGGGTTTAGAGGGTTTAGGGTTCAAGGTTTATAGAGTTTAGGCTTTAGGGTTTATAGGGTCTATAGGGTGCAGGGTTCACAGAGTTTAGGGTTTATAGGGTTAGAGTTTAAGCTTTATAGAATTTAGCATTTAGACTTAGGGGTGATACGGCGTAGGGCTCAAGGTTAGCTCAGGGTTTACGGCTTGTCGGGTACGGGTTTAGGGTTTCTAGGATCTCGAAGGTCCGGGAGCTTCTTTCGAGCTCTAGAAGCTGACCCGTGGGGCTAAGGTGCCTTGCGCTTGGGCTGTTTAGGGTTTAGGGTTTAGGGTTGAGGGTCTAGGGTTTCGGGTTTAGGGTTTAGGGTTGTGGGTGTACAGGGCTTTTATGGGGCCTCCGGGTCCAGGGAGGGCTTTAGGGCTTTAGGTCTTAGGGATTGTAGGGTTTACGGCTTCTTTAGGGCTTTGGCATTTTTAGGGTTTAGGGTGTAGGACTGAGGCCTTGAGGGCTTGAGGGCTTGAGGGCTTGAGGTGGGGTAGGTAGGAAATGGCTCAGGGACCGAGATGTCGGATCCGGATGTGCATTTCTAGGCGTTGGATTCTGGGATATGCATTTCGCATTTCTCATTTCCGGGCAGGCCCCAGTGGTTGTTGGATATGCATGTTGGAAGTGCACTTTCCGGCCCCTGAATTTGTGATGTTGCTGAGCTTACGGCCGCGCAAACCCTGATTTTTGGAAACGTAGTTTTGGGTTGGATGTTGATTGATCCTTTTTAATTCCTTCATCATCAACGCACGGCGGAAGCCTAGAGCTTATAGGGTCTTTTTTGATGGTTTAGGGTTTCGGGGTTTGGGGCTTTCGTATTTGGCTTGTGGACTCCGGTTTAAGGGTTTTAGGGTTTGGGCGCTTTGGGCAACCCTAAACCCTCAACCCTCAACCCTAAACCCTTAACCCTAAACCCTATAGTGGCGACCTAGCAGTTAGAATATTGGAAAACGGGCAGGGACCAGTTAGAATATTTGTGGTGCGGAGGGTAAACGGCCAGATTTTACCCTCGGGCCAAAACTAGCAGTTAGAATATTTGTTTTCCAGAACCAGCAGTTAGAATATTATTATTCCAGAACTAGCAGTCAGAATATTTCTTGGCCAAAACTAGCAGTGAAAATGTTTCTTGGCCAAAACTAAACGGGGTTCCTGGTTTTTATGGTTTGGAAAACAGAATGAGCAGATAGAATATTTCTGAGGGCAGGGGGTTGGGGCCTTCTCCAGGGCTCTTTCAGGCCTTCCTGGCCTGCACGGCTCCTTGCAGAACCAGCATATAGAATATTTCTGGGGGCAGGGGTTGGGGCCTTCTTCAGGGCTCTTTCAGGCCTTCCTGACCTTCACGGCTCCTTGCAGAACCAGCAGATAGAATATTTCTGGGGGCGCCTTCTTCAGGGCTCTTTCAGGCCTTCCTGACCTTCACGGCTCCTTGCAGAACCAGCAGATAGAATATTTCTGGGGGCGGGGGGTTGGGGCCTTTTTCCTGGCCTTCACGGCTCCTTGCGGGTTGGGGCCTTCTCCAGGGCTCTTTCAGGCCTTCCTGGCCTGCATGGCTCCTTGCAGAACCAGCATATAGAATATTTCTGGGGGCAGGGGTTGGGGCCTTCTTCAGGGCTCTTTCAGGCCTTTTTGACCTTCACGGCTCCTTGCAGAACCAGCAGATAAAATATTTCTGGGGGCAGGGGGGTTGGGGCCTTCTCCAGGGCTCTTTCAGGCCTTCCTGGCCTTCACGGCTCCTTGCAGAACCAGCAGATAGAAAATTTCTTAGGGGGGTTTGGGGCCTTCTCCAGGGCTCTTTCAGGCCTTCACGGCTCCTTGCAGAACCAGCAGATAGGTTTTTTCTGGGGGGAGGGGGGTTGGGGCCTTCTCCAGGGCTCTTTCAGGCTTTGCTGGCCTTCACGGCTCCTTGCAGAACCAGCAGATAGAATATTTCTGGGGGGAGGGGGGTTGGGGCCTTCTCCTGGCCTTCACGGCTCCTTGCAGAACCAGCAGATAGAATATTTCTGGGGGCAGGGGGGTTGGGGCCTTCTTCACGGAAGTGTATGCTCCAGCATATACTGGACCCGGTATATAAGTGTTATGTATATGTCTATATGCTTAAGCCACGGTCCGGAGCTTTCACCGAACCCGGAAGTGTATGCACACCACGGGCCAGCATGCACCGGACCCGGTATATTTCGTGTTCTGTATATGAATATGTCTAATTATGTATAAACCACGGTCCGGAGCTTTCATCGAACCCGGAAGTGTAGGCACACCACGGTCCAGCATATACCGGACCCGGTATATATAAGTGCATATACCCCCAGGGTTTCGATGATATAAAGAGAAAAAGGACTGCAATTTCTGAAACAATATTCTAACTGCTAGTTTTGCGCGATGGTAGATTTTTTTGAAAAAATAAAAATGTACTGGGCGGAGGGTAAACGCCAAAAAAATATATATATATATATATATATATTCTATCTGCTGGGTCGCCACTATAAACCCTAAACCCTAAACCCTAAACCCTAAACCCTAAACCCTAAACCCTGAACCCTCAAGGGTTTTAGGGTTTAGGGTTCAAGGCTTGGGGGTTAGGGTACCTTGGGGGTGCCGCCATATGGCTGGCCGGCCTAGGCCTGAACAATGAAGAAAGATGTACCTTTTTAGGGTTTAGGGTTTAGGGTTTAGGGTTTAGGGTTTAGGGTTTAGGGTTTAGGGTTTAGGGTTTAGGGGTGCAATGTGTGGTTCCCACGCACACGCATACACACATATGAACTATACATTATGTATACGTATATACTATAGATTCCCAAATTACACGGGTCAAGCTGTGTTTGGCTTCTGAGGGGGGCCCTTCAACCCTAAACCCCGGACCAGAAACACCAGGGTGCAGGGTGTTTCGTTGAGGGCTTCTAGGGCTTCCCGGTACTGGGATCCCGAACAGCCTTCCGGCGCCGTTGCTGGCGAGGTACCTGGTGGCTGTCGGGTTTAGGGTGCGGGTACATAGATTTCGGGAACTACGGTCAGGGGATGTGAAGGAAATGTCTAACCCTAAACCCTAAACCCTAAACCCCAAACCCGAAACCCTAAACATGAGTGACACATTTCGAAGTGCTGGCCATGTAGAGCTGCTGGCTGTGGCGGGTGCTCAAATGACCGCGGGGAGCTCCACCAGTGGTTTTGGGGGTTGTTGATTGAAGGGTTTAGGGTTTGCGGTTCGGGTGCTCTAACACAGAGGGTCTCGGATTTAGGTGCGCGCGACAGTCAGGGAAAAAAAGTCCGTTGGTCAGTCACGTGGGCCGCATCTTGAACCTCCCTGACGTCGCCGCCACAAGTGGCGTCTCCCCACACAGCCAGAGACCCGTCAGTCAACACCACAGCCACCGCCCCTTACTTCTCCAATAACCAAGGGAAAAAAGGTTAAACTTCAATATTCCTACTAACTAAGGAAACCCAAAAAAAAGTTTAAAGTTCAGCTGTGGGAGAAGGAATAAGGCTCTGTTTGACATCTGGACCTGCTGCACGTCCCTCAGCCGCGCGGGCGCGGCAGTCGCTCCACCCCAGGCCACCACCGATCCAGTCTCCAGGATGGCCACGAAGCCAAACCTTAATCCCTGTTCCCCTAGGAAGAAAAAAAGGATCCTTTTTGTTCATATATAAGAAAGCCCATAACCCAAAAAGTAAAAAGGATCCCTGACACTGATCTAGAAACAGTGATGCTTGGATCGCCTGAACATTCTTCAGCTGACTCTGCACAGCGCTGGAATCACCCCCCACACCCGCGAAGCCCCAGGTCACCACCGATCCATCACCGAGGAGGGCAGCAAATGCAGAGGGCGTGGCTTGGATCTGCTGCACATTCTTCAGCCGATGTCGAACCAGGCTGGTGTCCCCGCCCCGGACAGAGCAGCCCCAGCTTATTACAGACCCACCTGAGACAATGGCTGCGAAAGCGCCGCCGGAAGACTGCACATGCTTCACGCCCTTGAGCTGATCCTGTACAATGCTGCTGTCCCCGCCGAGGCCAGATTCACCCCAAGTGACCACAGATCCGTCATCCAGGATCGCAGCAAAAGCTGCTTCAGAAGCTTGCAGCTGCCTTACGCGCTTGAGTCGACGCTGCACAGAACGGCTGTCGCTGCCAAAGGTCGGAGAGCCCCAGGTCACCACCGATCCATCACGACTGAGGGCTGCGAAGGCTCCTTTACTCGCTTGGATGCACTGCACATTCCGAAGCTGATCCTGCACAAGGCTGCTGTCGCCACCGAAGCGTGCCGAACCCCAGGTCACCACAGATCCATCAGCCAGGATGGCAGCAAAGGCAGCAGTCGAGGCTTGAATCTCAAGCACATTCAGCAGCTTCCCCTGCACTGCACGGCTGTCGCCACCGCTTTGCGCATTGCCCCATGTCACCACAGATCCATCAGCCAGGATCGCGGCGAAAGCTTTGCTAGAAGATTGGATGTGCTGCACGTTCTTCAGCTGATCTTGGACGGCACCTCGGTAGCCCAGCAACCATATCACACTAAGGGGTGCCCTTTTCTGGGGTAGGGTTAATTTTATATAAAGGGAACCTTTCAACCAACAAAAGAGGCCAGAAGCGTGCCACTGGGCTACCAGGGCACTGCAATCACCGCCACAGTCATGCCTGCCCCATGCAACCACAGATCCATCATCCAAGATGGCAGCGAAAGCTTCGTTACCTTGGTAGCCCAGTAACGATATTATAATAAGGGCACCCTCTTTTTGGGTTGGTTACTTTATAAGGGAACCTTGAACCAAAAAAACGGGAAAAAGGATCCCGTACCACTGGGCTACCAAGCTACAAGACTGAAGATGTCGCACGCTCCTCAGTCGAGCTTGCACGTGTCGGCTGTTACCACCGTAGTCGTCATGCCCCCATGTCACTACAGACGAATCCCCCAGGATTGCAGCAAAGGCTGCACCGTGTGCAAATGCCGTCGCCTTTGTTGCTAGGACTTGTACCTGAGCCGAGTGCAGCGTCATCACGTCGCCGGTCAGCAGTGCTTTCTTGATGGTGGCTGCTCCATCCAAAATTACCCCCGAAGGGCTCACGAGCCTTCCTTGTGCAACTCCCAAGGCACGCTCAGCGCGTTTCTTCAAGTGGTCAAGCTCAGCAGTCTCATCTGATTCCAATGTAACGCTCCTGCCACTCATGAGATACACGTTGACCGTAACCAGCATGGTGCACAATCAGCCCCAAACCCTAAACCCTAAACCCTAAACCCTACACCCTAAACCCTACACCCTAAACCCTAAACCACCAAACCTGTCTTCACCCTCGGGGCTGGGCCTGTGGGCCTCCCGGCTTCACCGACTCGTTCCCGAAACCCTAAACCCTAAACCCTAAACCCTAAACCCTAAACCCTAAACCCTAAACCCTCGACCCAAACCTTCAGCTCAAAGCCCTACGACAGGGGATCCGAAGTATGGCCCTGAATCTGGGTACATACCCGGTTTGGGGCGTAGAGGGCCAGTTTAGGGTGGGTCCTTGTTCGATAAGCCCTCATATACACGCTATATATATATATACATATATATATATATCTCTGTCTATGTATATATATATATATATATATCAAGAGCCCATACTTCGGATCCCTATAAGACAAGTAAGAACCTTACTTTGGAGTAGACCCTGGAAAAAAGTATCGATATTTTGGGGATGAGTAGCTATAATAGGAACCCAGAACCAAAACAAAGTAATAACGTGTAGTACTCCAAAACCCAGAGTCAGAACCCTACACTCGAGCACGCCGAACCTCGAACCACATCACCTCCTGCAACCCTGTCTGGGATTTTGGGCTGTGGTTTAGGGCTTATGGTTTCGGGCTTAGGGTTGAGGGTTCTAGGGTGGTATCCCCAACCCTAAGCCCTAAACCCTAAACCCTAAACAGACCTTCGGGTTGCTAGTTAAAAAACCCAGTTACACAGACCGACCTTCCGGTGCTCCACTGCAGAAGTTGGGCTTCCAGTCTTAAGCCAGCAACTGATGGGGTTTAGGGTTTAGGGTTTAGGGTTTAGGGTTTAGGGTTTAGGGTTTGATTTGGGGTTTAGGGGAGCACGAGTCGCCTGGGGTTTAGGGATTCAGGGCTCTTTGGGGGGGGGGGGGGGTGCCGGGGTGCACGTCTCTCCAGAAGATGCGAGCAACAAAATCTCGGAATTCAAGGTTTAGGAGAATGGAGAAGAATAAGGAATAAAAAGAATAAGAATAAGAATAAGAATAAGAATAAGAAAAGAGTATCATCGTAATAAGAATAGAACTAACAGAATATACGAAAATACGAATAAGCAACACAGATCTTCCCCCTTATACTAACAGTCTTAAGGGACTTTTATAGGGGGATACTCTAGTCCCCATTCAGGGCTGTTAGTACAAGGGGGAACACTCCAAGTCTTGGGATTTTAGTGATTCCTTGGGGTCGGATTTTGGGAATGAGGCCCTAATTCCCTGTGTGAAGTAGGGAAATATTTCTTGTACCCCAAAAAGGATTATACACACTCACCAAGATTAAAAATGAACCTTATATACACTCACCAAAAAACGTTTAATTAATATAAAACCTGCTTCATATCCCTACTGAAAGCCAGGAAATTTTATGGTTGCTCAAAGCAATCTGTCCCCAGAGATAACCACGAGGCAAGGTCCATTTTTACTAAGGACTCTCCGTTTAGGGGACCCGGGAACCTTTAGACGACCATGATTTTCATGTTTAGGGTTTAGGGTTTGGGGTTTATGGTTTAGGGTTTAGGGCTTATGGTATCCGGCCTTGAGGGCAGCCTGCCACGATTTTTCCGACCAGAAGCATCGCATCGAACCAGTCTTCCAATCGGTTCTAGCAGCATGGCTTACTGCGAGCCTGCCCCCCTCGAGCCTACACCCGAAACCTTAAACCTTATAAACCTATAAGCCTTATAAGCCCTCTGAAAAAACTCTGTAAGCCCTAGAAATAAGCCCAGAGAGCATTTTAAATATAACAATATCAACAAGCCCAATAAACCCTACACCTTAAAGCTGCAAACCCTACACCTTAAACCCTACACAGCCACCTCCCAGCTCAAGGCAGGCTCCCTGCATGGGGTGCGCCACACACTCACTTCGAAAAGGTCAGGAGCTTCTTCTCCTGGGACGTGGGGTTTGGGGTTTAGGGTCTGGCGTTTGGGGTTGAGGGTTTAAGGTCTAGGGGGGGGGGGGGGTTATGTGGTGTGGGTGAGGGATCTAGACTTTACTCTCTAAACCCTAAACCCTAAGCCCTAAATCCAGTTTGGTGTAGGTGCTGTTGCGGCTTCGGGTTCTCTGGTGTTCAGGGCTTTTCAGCACATGGCTCAGCACCTGGGTATGGACTTCAGCACTCCTAATTCCCGACTAGGCTTCTTAGTTGCTGAGTTCATAAGCCCCAAAAAAAGTGTACACTTTCAGTTCTATAGGGGATTCTAGTATCGCAAAAAGTGTAAAGCGTGCTCACTCAGCTCCTAAGGCTTTTTCTGTACTTGTGATAGACGAGCCTGTTGAATAGAATGGGGGGGGGGGGCAGTTTGAATTATGATGCTACGGGGATTAATGCGAACAGATGGGTTTATCTTATCTTTTTCTGCAGCCGCCCCTTGGGATGATTGTGCGGCTGTAACCACAGCTGTCCTAAGGGGTTCGGGAGGAGGAGGCGTAGAAGGTATTGAAGGCAAGGGATTGATTGCGGCTCCAAAGATGCACTTCATCACCGGTGACTCCCAAGGAAACCCAAGGGCTCCGAGGGGCAGATAGGATATGAGGCTCATTGGCCACTATTTGGCCCAGGTGAGTGGGGCCCAACAAAGTTGGTTGCGAGGTTCCGAAGGCGGCTTGCTCTTGCCTGGGTGGTGCCGTCACAGAGAGCGCGGATTCCGGACCAGGGTGTCGTGGTGCATCTCCCAGGCTCGGGCAGCTACTGATGCCCGCCAGAGGTTCTATTCGACATGCCTCACCTCATAAAGATGTTGGTACCTGCTACCTCTATCACTTGGTAGCCCAGGAACCATAGTATAGTAAGGATCCCCTTATTGGCATGAATTACTTCTCGCAAGGGAACCACGAAGCCAAAAAGAACAACGGGGAACGCCTGACCTACCAAGTAACCCTATAGACTAAACCCTAAACCCTGAACCCTGAACCCTAAACCCTAAAGCCCAAACCTGCCCAAAAGGCTGCGCTCAAGCTCCACCTTCGCAGTTGGTCGAACCCGTCCTGACTTTAGACTTTGCCTTGAGAAGCCCCCAAGGCCAACTTGGGGTTAGGGTTTAGGGTTTAGGGTTTAGGGTTTAGGGTTTAGGGTTTAGGGTTAGGGTTGAGGGTTTAGGTTAGGGTTTAGGGTTTTTTCGGGTTCGGGTTTAGGGTTTAGGGTCTAGGGCTTCGGGTTTAAGGTTCAGAGTTTTGGGCTTCGGGGTTTAGACTCTTTGGGCACCAAGCCCCTAAACAATTTTCCGTCTCAGCCCGCCACGTAGAGGAGGCGGTTCAGGCCTTGGGAACTTTTGTGTCTTCTTTGGGAGGGTGTAGGGCTTATAGCATGACATAGAGATATAGTAGTGTGCCAATCTACAAATATACAGATGTACTATATAATACAATCATATAAGAATACCATGGTCTAAGAATCTACAAATCTACGTAGAGGTTAGGGTGGATAAAATTGGAAGGTCTGGTTGGGTTTTGGGGAGCCCCCAAAATTACACCAAACTCCTAGACCCAAAATGCCGGTGTATGCCTCCATATGCCTCCAGGCGACAGCATTGCAGGGTGGGGCCCGCAGTTCTGAAGACCCTAAACCCTAAACCCGAACCCCTAAACCCTAAACCCTAAACTAAGACCGACTGAGGCACCATACTAGCCCTATTAACCCCATTAACCCGATTAACCCTAAGCCCTAAGCCCTAAGCCCTAAGCCCTAAGCCCTAAGCCCTAAGCCCTAGGCCCTAAGCCCTAAAAACCCTAAACCCCAAACCCTAAACCCTAAACCCTAAACCCCAAACCCTAAACCCTAAATCCCCCTGAGCCCCAAGCAGGCATCGCTCTCACCACGCTGGCGGATGAAGCCCGCGAGCCTGACAGCATGCCGAGGGTCCGAAGTATGGGTCCCTTCATCTGCGATAAGGGTTTAGGGCTTAGGGCTTAGGGCTTGGGGTTTAGGGTTTAGGGTTTAGGGTTTAGGGTTTAGGGTTTAGGGTTAGGGGGCAGGCATATGTAACCATGACCGATGTTGGCGCTACTTAGATACATGGGGCACACATGATTTTAAGGTGCATGTAGTGAACGGAGAAGGTTTCATAGGGGAACGTAGATCACTGTCGGAACCCACAACTCTACATCTTCATCAACCCCATCTCTATTGAATGCTCTAGGGTGTCAGCCCTTCAACACAAAACCCCAACCCTAAACCCTATACCCTAAACCCTAAACCCTCAACCCCACGTCTCTTCTGGCCCCCCCAGTGATTCAGAAAGGCTGCGCGAAGGTGTGGAACTCGCCGGTGTACATGCCATTCTCCTCATTGGGGTTCAGGGTTCAGGGCTGAGGGATAGCCCTAAACCCTAAACCCTAAACCCTAAACCCTAAACCCCAAACCCTAAATCCCAAACCAGAAACTCTGAACCCTCCACCATGGGGTGACCTGGGACTTCCTGCAATTCTCCTAAGCCATGCGGTCTGGGGACTATGGGCCCGGCCGGCCTGAGACTGAATTGTAGCGGGGGATGAGAGGCGCTTTAGGGTTTAGGGTTTAGGGTTTAGGGTTTAGGGCTTAGGGTTTAGGGCTTAGGGTTTACCCTGAAATTAAAAGCTCTTTTTCGCCCAAGTCTATGGACCTTGAGGTAGACGACCCGCCTAGCTTGAAGAAGAGCTTGGGTAGTCGAGAAGCTGCAAACTGCCCTAAGCCATAAGCCCTGAGTCCCAAGCCCGAAACCCTAAACCCTAAACCCTAGCCCTAAACCCTAAACCCTAAACCCTAAGCCCTAAGCCCGAAGCCCTAAACCCTAAACCCCAAACCTGGCCCAGACCCTACAACTGGAAGCTGAGCATCATCGACCTGTCCGACATTCAGCTGAACAGCACCGTGCTCCTGGCACCGGGACATTTCCGAAACGAGGGTTTAGGCTTCAGGGCTCAAGGTTTGGGATGTGGGGGGTCTAGGGTTTGGGGTCTAGGGTTTAGGGTTTAGGGTTTTAGGGTTTAGGGCTTAGGGTTTAGGGTTTATGGGGGGGGTCCTCCTTTTAAGGGAAGGCTACTGCTTGGGGTGTGTAGAAGGCGTCCCCTCATTTTCGCAAACCCACACGTCGATTGCGAAAGCCAGAGCTCAGGTTTAGGGTTTAGGGTTTAGGGTTTAGGGTTTAGGGTTTAGGGTTTGGGGTTTGGGGTTTAGGGTTTAGGGTTTAGGGTTTAGGGTTTAGGGTTTAGGGTTTAGGGTTTAGGGTAGCGACCCGGAGTCCCTCCGACAAGTTGCAGAATCAATAACAAATCAAACCCCCAAACCCCAAACCCCGAACCCTAAACCCTAGCCCTAAACCCTAGACCCTAAACCCTAAACCCCAAACCTCTAACCCCAAAACCTAAACCTAAACCCAAACCTCTACATCCTGCGCGGCACATTGGCAAACCCCAAACCCTAAACCCCTCAACCCCCAGACCCTAAACCCTATACACTACACCAGCCCTGTCTGGGCCTTGGCGTGGATGAGGCGGTTGGTCGCGGAGCACCTCTATCCCAGCTTGGGGATGTAGAGTTTATGGATTAGGGGTTTAGGGTTTAGGGTGGGGTTTAGGGTTTAGGGACTTAGGGTTTCGGGGTTTGGGGTTTTAGGGGGTTTGGTTTGGGGCTTTGGGAAGTCCAAGGGACAGGGGGTTCTGAGGGCACTCTGCGCCCCTACGCCCCCCCAGGACCCTAAATCTAAGGGCTTCTTTGCATGCTACGTGGTGTCTGGCTTAGGGTTTAGGGCTTCTCCGGGTCCTTCAAGATGGTCCCTTACATTTTGAAGACTTAGCCCCAGGACCTGTTGAAGCAACACTGTCCTTCAAAGCTGCTCAACAAAGGGTTTAGGTAGGGTTTAGGGTTTAGGGTTTAGGGTTTAGGGTTTAGGGTTTAGGGTTTAGGGTTTAGGGTTTAGGGTTTAGGGTTTAGGGTTTAGGGTTTAGGGTTTAATGCTTAGGGTTTGGGGGCTCAGGTTTCAGGGTTGAGGAGTCGTGGGCTTATGTTTGAGGGTGCTGTAGGGTGTTACGGCCACGCTTTGGGGGTCGCTAAGCACCTACCCTGACTGACCCGCAACTCGAAACCCTTAAGCCTAAACCCTAAAGCCATTGGGGGTCCTGTGAGGAGGGCGTCTGGCTTGAGGACTACATTGGGGCTTTGGGCGTTGGCATCCAGAGTTTGGGGTTTCGGGCTTGCCCAAAACATGAGCCCCAAAAGCCCTAAACTCTGAACTAGCCCTAAACCCTAAACCCTAAACCCTAAACCCTAAACCCTAAACCCCTAAACCCCTAAACCCCTAAACCCCTAAACCCCTAAACCCCTAAACCCCTAAACCCCTAAACCCCTAAACCCCTAAACCCCTAAACCCCAAACTGCCAAAGATCCCTGACTGAGTTGTCCGCTTGCGGGGCAGGTAGAGATCGACGACCTTGCCCTCTTCGTTCTGCATGTTGCCTTCTGGGTCGAGGTGGCCCTAAACCCTAAACCCTAAACCCTAAACCCTAAACCCTAAACCCTAAACCCTAAACCCTAAACCCTAAACCCTAAACCCTAAGCCGGGCTGAACCCCAAAAGCTTGATCCTCCACCCAAAACTCCAAACCCTGAAGCCCCACAGCCTCAACCCCAAACAAATCCCCAAAACGCTTCCTCCAGGACGCCCCCCAGCTACCCTTAATGCGGTGACTTAGGGTTTAGGGTTTAGGGTTTAGGGTTTAGGGCTTAGGGTTTAGGGTTTGGGGAATAGGGTCACCCTGGCGTGATACCCGAACCCAAAACTCTGAACCCTCCACTCTGAACCTTATGAACCTTCAGACCCTGAACTCTCAACCCTAAAGCCTAAAGCCTAAACCCTAAAGTCTCAACCCTAAAGCCGCCTAAAGCCTAAACCCTAAACTCTCAACCCTAAAGCCTCAACCCTTAAGCCAAAACCCTGAAACCCTGCACCACCTGCCGCCAACAGGTGGGGGAAGGGGGGGGGGGGGGGGAGGGGTTGACATGCTAACAGATCTGGACCAATGGCAGTCCAACAGGCTGAGTGGTTTAGGGTTTAGGGCTTAGGGCTGAGGGAGGGTTTCGGGGAGTTGGGAGGGTTTGGGTTAGACCCTAAACCCGAAACCCCAAACCCCAAACCCCAAACCCTAAACCCTAAACCCTAAACCCACCCAACAATGGCCTGCAAAGAAGTCGGCACAGAGTTCTGCTGGTCGCTGGGTGCTTGGTTGCTCACCGCTGGAGCCCAAATGGCAGATGTAAGGAACCGACCGGTTCATCTCAGAACCCTAAACCCCAAAACCCTGAACCCCAAAACCCTGAACCCCTAAACCCCTAAACCCCTCAACCCCTCAACCCCTCAACCCTAAACCCTAAACCCCCGGACCCCCTAACCTGTGCAACTGTGAATCCCTAAACCTTTATCCCCATACCCTAAAGCCAAGCACCCCGAACCGCTTAAGCCCCTAAGCCCTCTTAAGGGTTTAGGGCTAAACCCTAAACCCTAAACCCCAAACCCCTCAGCCGCAACAGCAGGGTACCGGCATGGAGCTGGTCTTCATTCTTCCAAGGGCAACGGGGGTTCGCAGTCGGTGACCCAGAGGCCTTAGAGTTGTTTGGGGCTTCGAGTTTAGGGTTTAAGGGTTTGTCGTTTAGGCTGTGTTGGGCTGCATCGGGGATCTGGGGCTTAAGGAAGGGGTTAGGGTTTAGGGTTTAGGGTTTAGGGTTTAGGGTTTAGGGTTTAGGGTTTAGGGTTTCGGGTTTAGGGTTTAGGGTTTAGGGTTTAGGGTTTGAGGCTTAGCAGTCAGGGCCTAGAATGTTAGGGTTTTCGGGTTCCCGCCTTGGGTTTTGGAGCTTGAGGGCTTTCAGGTTTGGGGCCTTGGGGTGAAATAAACCAAAACAACAAAAACGAAAAGTAAGTGTAGATGAATGCTGAATTCTTCCTCTTCTTCTCAAAGAGCCGAATTTAAGAGGACAAATGACTTAGTTATTTTTTAGCCAACTCCTGCTCACACGAAGCTTCTTCTTTGTCTACTCTTCTCTTTACAGCTTCTCTTCGCAAAATTTCTTTGTCTCTTAGACAGACTTCACTGACAAAACTGATAGGGCCCGCCTCTCTAGAAAGGGTCTTGATGTGAGGGTTTAGCATTTAGGGCTTCCACACCCAATCCTTTCGGCCCGACCCCTAGTTGGATATACCTGCCATGCCAGGTGCTTCCCAAAAAAAGACATCCTAAACCCTAAGCCCATGGTGTCACCTAAAACAACCCTAAAATACTGCATTAGAATTTAACGTCAAATCCCTACCTGTGCCATCCTCAACCCCCTATACATGTGAATACCGACATTTCCCCAAATACCTAACATACTCCAAGCACTAAAATCCCGACTACAGGAGCCACCTCCCCACCCGAAACCCTAACCCTAAACCCTAAACCCTAAACCCTAAACCCTAAACCCTAAACCCTAAACCCTAAACCCTAAACCCCCTGAGTTCGGGCGGCCAGCGTCAGGGTTTCAAGCCTTAGGGTACAGTACAAGAGTTTAGGCAGCCTCTACGGCAGACAGCAAGCCTAAACCCTAAACCCTGAAACCCTGAAACTCTAAACCCTAAACCCTAAACCCTAAACCCTAAGCCCTAAACCCTAAACCCTAAACCCTAAACCCCAAAACCCCAGTCTACGCTCGAAACCCCAAATCATTGGGTTTAGGGCTTTCGCCTATGGGCGCACGAGGCAGACATGACGGCTGCTTGTGCAGTTTGGGTTTAGGGTTTAGGGTTTAGGGTTTAGGGTTTAGGGTTTAGGGTTTAGGGTTTAGGGTTTAGGGTTTAGGGTTTAGGGTTTAGGGTTTAGGGTTTAGGGTTTAGGGGCTGTCAAGGTTACATACTTTAAGCCCCAAACCCAGGAATTTCCGGGGCTAGCGCGCGAGTTCTCAGCTGCAGTCCACAGGGAAGCCGCTCAGCTTTGCCCCGCTTACAAAAAAAACACACCCAAGCTCGAACCTGAAGCTCCTCACCTGAACCTAAACCCTAAACCCTAAACCCTAAACCCCAAACCCTAAACCCTAAACCCTAGGCCCTAAACCCTAAACCCTGTTTGGCAAGCCTTTGGTCCTAGCATCTCAACCCCATGCCCGAGCATGCACTCACCTCGTCCGAAATCTCCACAGCTGCTTGAACCCGGGCGCGCAGACGATGGCAGAAACAGGGCTTCGGGTGGTTTAGGGTTTAGGGTTTAGGGTTTAGGGTTTAGGGTTTAGGGTTTAGGGTTTCGGGCTTAGGGATGCAGACGAGCGCTCTCAGTTCGAAGGTTTTCGCGTTAGGGCTTCAGGTTAACAACGGAATCTGTGGGAACTCGGGGTTTGTATATACACACATACCTTTCTGACTACCTCTAGGGTAACTGTAAACCCTAAACCCTAAACCCTCCCAAACCCTAATCAAGCCCTCCTAGGGTTCTCTCGGGAAGGAAAGGGCTTACGCCGAGGGCTTAGGGCTTAGGGGAGGAGGAGGGGTGAGTGGCCCCCCCCTAATCCCCACGTGACAGGCCCTGGGAGACCTCATTTTGGGTTGCCTTCCACTGGCCTACAGGGTGTAGGGGTTTAGGGGTTAGGGTTTAGGGTTAGGGTTTAGGGTTTAGGGTTTAGGGTTTAGGGTTTAGGGTTTAGGGTTTAGGGTTTAGGGTTTAGGGTTTAGGGTTTTGGGTTTAGGGTTTAGGGTTTAGGGTTTAGGGTTTAGGGCCTAAGGTTGCCTACTAGAGTGTAGGGGCGGAGCTGGATCGAGGCTCAAGACGATAAACACCAGACCCTACACCTGAAACCCCTTACCCCTCCATCAAGGTGTCGGATGAAGCCCTAAACCCTAAACCCTCAACCCTAAACCCTAAACCCTAAACCCCTCATGTGGGCGCATCATGCAAATCGCCTTGTGGCCCTCCTTTACAATCTTCATCTTCTGCTCCTGGACCTGCGCAGGGTGCACGTGCTGACGGCAAAGAGTGGAAAGTTCAGAGCGCGGGTGTGTGGTTTTAGGGTTTAGGGTTTAGGGTTTAGGGTTTAGGGTTTAGGGTTTAGGGTTTAGGGTTTAAGGTTGAACCCTAAGCCCCAAAACCCTGCGCCCACCCTAACCCTAAGCCCTGAAGCCATACGCCCAAACCTGTAAACCAAAACGACCCCTAAACCATAAACCCCTAAACCCTAAACCCTTAAACCAAGGACATAAATTGGGATAAAGGGCGACCTTAAACGCGAAACCTGAACCCATAAACCCTGGCTAAAACCCCGAACCTGATTTGGGATGGAAAGCCAAAAGGACGATATAGAACCCTCATCCTGAAAAACCTCTATACACCCTATAGACACCCGATGAAAATCTATATAAACCCTAACCCTATGGGAATTATTTGGAAACTGCGCAGAAACCCTAAAGACAACCTACATACTACAAACCCTGGATAAACCCTGTGTCCTAACCTGTAAACCCTAAACTGCAAATCGTGACCCCTTAGCCCCTAAACCCTTAACCCTAAACCCTGAGGGTTCAGACCCTAAATTTACAAACCCGGTCCAGGCGTAGATTCGGCCATGGACTCTTCTGGGATTTCAGGAGCGGCCTGAAGTTCACCCCGCATGGGCTTACTCACATACGGTCTAGGGTTTCGGGTTTAGGGTTTCGGGTTTAGAGGAGAAAGCGCATGGGACGTTGGCGGAGAGGGAGTACCGCGTAAAGGCGGGGTGAGGAAACGATGCTGGAAACAGGCTTCGAAGAGTGAGGAAGATAGAACAAGGCAACAGCACAGTTGCGAATCGTTCTGGGCACACCTGGAGGTTCGTGGGTGCTTATAACTGGTTGCCGAGTTCAGGAGCTGCTCTTCTCAAATGGACACGGATGCCGCACTACGGATGGTGGAGAGTTGGGAGTCTGCTTGGAGGTTCATGTGTACTTATAACCCCACTTATAAGTCTACTTACATAACCTACTTAGGGGACTTAGGGGGTGTATAAGTACAGTTAGAATTGGGGCTTAGGTTTACGAGCTCATTGGGGTTTAGGTAGGTCCTCGGGTTTGGGGTTTAGGTTAACTTATAGGGGTTTAAACCCTAAACCCTAAACCCTAAACACAAAACCCTAAACTCCAAAAGTCATAGCCAGGGAGGTGGCTTACTGTAGGCGGGCATCATGGTCTCCCTTTTAATTAAGGCTTCGGGCTTGGGAGTTTAGGGTACAGGGTCTAGGGTTTAGGGTTTAGGGCTTAGGGTGCAGAGAGGAGCCGTACGCAGCCTGGCAGAATGAAGAAAGGCTACCGTGCTTTCTGTCGTTTTAACCGATAGGTTCAACCAGGAACCCTCGAACCCTAAACTCCCTAAACCGTAAACCGTAAACCGTAAACCCTAAACCCTAAACCTTAAAGGCTGAGCAGGAATCCTACAGATCTACACCCTAAACCCTAGACACTAAACCCTTAACCCTAAACCCTAAACCCTAAAACCTAAACCCTAAACCCTAGGCGTTAGAACCAACAACCCTACACCGCATCCTCGCCTTCTGGGCATCGGCCACCCTTTTTTGCTGGCTGACCTGCAACTCCGTGGCCTTCGCAGAAGGGATGGGGGCTTGAGCTAAACCCTAAACCCTAAACCCTAAACCCTAAACCCTAAACCCCAAACCCTAAACCCCAAACCCCAAACCCTAAACCCTAAACCCTAAACCCTATAAACCCTAAACCCTAAGAGGGGTTCAGGGTGGAAGGTTTGAGGATCAGGCTTTCGAGCTCTGCAGTTTAAGGGCTTGGGGCCTCTGCTGTCCTGTGCTGCGTGCAGCTCAGCGTGTCAGCAAGGGTCCTAAAGTTCGGTGGAGACCCACTGGGTGGGGGGTTTGGACCGGGGGGGGGGGGGGGGGGGGGTACGCTAACCCTAAACCCTAAACCCTAAACTGCCCTAAACCCTAAACCCTAAACCCTAAACCCTAAACCCTAAACCCTGAACCCTAAACCCTCAACCCTGAACCCTGAACCCTGAAGGAGGTTCAAGGCTTCATGCTTTGGGTCTGCAAAGCTTATGCTCCCCAGAGAGGCACCTTCTCCTCTTGCTTGGTCTTGATGTTCTCCTCGTGCTTCCTGTGACTTTCCTGGCCACTGACTCAGCGGATGTTCCCTTATACTAACAATCCTTCATGGGGATTATATACTGTAGCAGAAGGGGAGGGGGGGGCCATCCTGACTAAGGACTGATAGTATCAGGAGGAACATCCCAACACGAAACCCTATCTTAGGGTAGCTACATGGGCCCTTAATGTGGGCCCTCAAAAGGGAGCGCCTTATATAACCCGCATGCACCGTCTACAAAGCTACAAAGGAGGTTAGGGACCATATTTAGGGCCCATGAAGCTATCCTTAGACCCTAAACCCGAAACCCCAACAGATTCAGCCCCGAGCCCTAAACCCTATCATCCTAAACCCTGGGTTGTCTCGATTAACAGAAAACAAAAACATAAACACTCAACTTGGGATGTTCCCCCTTATACTAACAGTCCTTCATAGGGGCCCACTGCAGTCCCCTATAAA